ACGAAAGTTATATATTATGCTCAGATAGAGCATTTTATTGATATGCAAAACATGATGAAGTTAGGCACGAAGGAAACAAGGGTATACTTCTGGAAGTTCTATAAATTTAAACTCGCGACTGTTAATTTTAGCGTTGTCGTGTGCCGATTTAATGACCTTGCCGTAATTGTCACCTTGAAATCGTTAGGCGAAATGCTAACTTTGATACAATGCCAATTGATACATTTGAATGAAAGTTATTTTTGCCGCTCACAAACAGTTTTGGAGTGATGCATAGCGTGAATGGTTAAATCACATAGATGATACAAATGCCTACCTGCAATCATATTATCTCAGATTCCTGGCCAAATAATTGCGCGCTGACTTAGCGATCTCGTACAGTCACCCCATGGAATCACAAAATAAATTGAAAATCAAAGGCATTGGCAGAGAGTTTCTCAGTAATAAGCAATATGAATGGCGAATCCAATTAATATTACAAACGACCTCTGCCATTGACATAAATCCAGTCTTATGACTGCAGACTGTGCGCTAATGTACTGACATCGCATAGTCGTCAAAATGGAAAGAAAAAATAAGACATTTATTAGTTTGACAACGGCATCGCACTTCATGCGCGGAGAGCCTTCCAGATATATAACACGAAGAACTGAATTTTGCAGTTGACGCTATTGACCACTGTCCAATTATGTTGATTCAGTGTAGAGACTGCACGACCAGGCCGCTGACACCAAGCAGTGGTCTCTGTCAAAATGTCATAGACCGCCTTGGTGTATTCTTCATTTGAAGACACATCGGAGTATATTTACAGCCTTCTAAACGTCAGTTTCTTTATCTAATATATTATTTTGAAGTGCTGTGTACAAGAATCTCGTTTATTTATTTTGACCAGGTTAAAAATGAAGCTGCGGACGGCCTTTTTGCGTTATTTCAGCCTGATTTTTGTACAGATTTGCTTTTTGATTTTCTTTCTGTTTTATGCGGCATAACATTCTGATCAGTTATTGAACTTCGTAAAGTTTGTATACTAGGAGTATATGGTTCATCAATTATGTTAGTGAGAAAAGTGGAACTGATAATTTTTTGATTTTATTACATGATGAATGCTAAGTAAAAGACATATCAATTCCATTTTTGAGTCTGTCGTAAAGGCATTAACTTTTCCTACAGATTCTTTGTCACAGTTTTTGATTACCGCCTGCTGCTTTCTGTAGACTATCAAAAACATTTAAATACGCGCCCAGATGTTTCCATTAGTACTTTTTTACTTCACTGGATTTCATATACGAATTAAGAACCATTCAATTCGTTTAACAGTCAGAAATATTTGCCTCGTTGTTAATGGAAGATATTGAAACGTGCATTTTTACTTTCAGAGGAGATCTGGCATATTTCAATGGTCTGAAGCAGACGATTATGTTCGCTGCCGTCTTTGACTGTAG